GAGAAGCTTGTCAAGACGGCCTTCCCAGGAGCAGACGTCTTTGTTTTGGACTGTCATACTAAATAGTACTTTAAAGTATTGCGGGATGATATCTCCGGCCGGATATTATACCTGGAATGCTTGAACTTGATGGGCCGAGAGAGAAAGGATTTGATGTTGAGGCTTACTGGCTTTTTGTATTATGTGGCATACTGCTATGTTATTAAACACAAATAAGTGCTGCAATTAAAATAGCAAACTGAGCAATTATTAATTCGTATGCTCCGGTAACCACATTAACCTTAAATTGAGGGTAAAAGTGCTTCCTGAGGACATAGTCAGCCCCCCCACCCCCATCCCCAAAACCTTTTGTGCAATCCGGTCTCAGTCAGTCAGTAAAGCTGCGGTAAGCATTAGTGTGGCTTATTTGGTCATTAGGAGTCAAACCATATTGTAATTGCTCACGTAGCACAACATATTTCTGTGACATGTCCCAACCAACACAGGAATGTGTGATGTTGCAAAATCATTCCTCTTTTATATCATAATTCACAATGAACGCAGTGAGTCAGTGCTTTCTTTCAAGCAGGGGTGAGGCGAGTGTGGGAGGCCCTTTTCTACAAATTTGTAGGCCTGACAGATGTTTACGTAAAGTATGTATGAGCAGATATGAAGCTGCGGACAGTTTCTGAGAAGAAATGAACATTTCATTCATGAAGAATTGAATTAAAGTCTGAAGAGGACAACAATGTGCAAGCTTCAAATAAACTTCAAAACAATTTTGCTTGACTGAAATAATATGTTGGCCATATTGTAAAACTGTGACCATGATCATCAGCGAGTTTGTGGCGACGCCAAAGCAAACAAACAAAAACAAAAGCAATGGATACATAAAATCAGAAACTGATTTTAACAGCGCAGATATTTTAATACATCACATTTGTGTTTTATGTGACGTTCATGAATGAAAATGAACACGTACCGATCGCTGAAGCAACTTTTTATGCTATGTAATGCCAGTCAAGTTCAGGAGGCGCAAATTGACCTTGCACATATCACCGTACAGGGGATTGGGTTGCACTGCACACTGACATTTGAGCCTGCACAAACAGACATGCACAGCGTACATAGCAACAAACATCGTATTGAGTCATGCACGTACAGTATCTGTGTGTGTTGCTCAGTTGAATGATAAATCGGGAGAATTTGGTCTGGGGAAGAAAAGCGTGCAGAGCAGGAGTTCATATATGAGATATATATATACATACATACATACACAAAAACGTGTACGTGTGTGTTCATGGACCTGCGGGCAGACGGTACAAAGTGGTTGCAAATTCAGTTTGCTTGCCCTCCTCTGCCCTCTGCCCTTTTTGCTGTCAGTACCACAAAATCTGACATGCGAGTATGAAATGACTCCCGCGGCCGATGCATTTAAAAGTAGGCATGTCACAACAAACAGCAGCGCAGCAGCAAATCCGATTCAGTGGATGCAAAGTTTTCCTGAAATGTCCAACCTGCACGTTGTGGTATGAGGCAGTGCACAAATGCAATATCCGGTGACGACTACGTAGACAAGGTTACAACCATTACAATATCAATTAAAAACAAAACAATACACTTGGTAATTTTTCTTGTTTGCAGAAAAAAAAAAATTCACATATGTCTTGTGTTTTCTGCTTTGAAAAAACAAGTGTTTGGTCGCTGTACACAGAGTCCTTGGCTACCTCTCAAGTCTGGTTTCAGTTTACCGATGCACTCTGGGATTAGTGGTGGTGTATCGATGCACGCAGGATGTGCAAGAGTTAGAACTGCTTTGTTCCAGGAAAGGACAGCAAGTTAACAGGATTTTATGTTTTTTTTTGTGCTGATGCCGAGTAACTGAAGGTTTTACTGTGACAGGACATGGCTAAACCCCAACCAAAATAATGAAAATATGATTTTATATCCCTTGGACTGTTAATAAAAACAGAAGGATGTATTAAACAGTTTTGGACATCGACATGCATACGCTGCATTTTCCATCATCATCCTCCTCTGTCTAAATCGATTCGATCTTACCGAACGACCAGGGAAGATCCCATTAGCGTGGGAGGGAAAAGTGTCCCAGCCCACCCTGCTCGGCATCATAATATTACTCATGAAACATTCACGTCTTCATGTGACCGGGAAGATCACCCCAGCCTCCCCATTGGTGCAGGCCGGATGGGCCCAGAACAGGAGATGAGGTTCTATTGGTGTACTCAGAGCGCTCGAGAGCCAGCTGAGCGATTTCGAATCGATTGATCCGGCCCAGTCAGCCCACACGGACGTGGGCGAGGAGAAATAGAGACAGGCAGTTCAACATTTCATGTATGCCGTATCAAATCAAATGAAAAGCAGAACCTCCCTTGTGAATGGAGAGAATTGAAGGAGCCTTTAAAGCACAGGGGTCAAATATACTCTTCAAAACTGTGAGACAGAAGGTGCTAGCCATGAGTTTGCTCACGACGGGGGTTCAGAAACGACCCATCTGCGATGGTCAGGAAATAGGCCTGTTGTTGCTTGGGGATCAATTCTGCCATTGCGCTGATTGAGTGTTTGACTGAGTATCTTAGGTGTCCTCAATCTAAGCTAGACTGCCAGTTAATTCCAGTTTGCATAATGTAGTGTACCAAATGAATTAAATCCATTCTTCCGAATGTGTAAGTGAGGTTCCAGCCTACTGCCTGGTTTTATGTGAACCAACATGCCTGATGGCCTTTCACAAAGTGGATCAAATTCTGCTGATCAGAGCAATCGTGAAATGGAAATAACGACTGAATGCTTACAAGCATATGATCTCAGTTTACACTCAATGGCCAGAAATTGAAGCAGAAATACGCACTCATTGCTTCAAAATCATCCGGATGATACTGATGGGAATAGTGACTCGGGGGTTGCCATGGCAACTGGATCACCTGCTTTCAGGGACTGTAATATTACTTGGTCAATCAGGGCGGGATATCCTGAACTGATTGCCAGCCAATGGCGGGGCAAACATAGACAAACAACCATTTGCGCTCACTATCATAAGTTCCAGTGTTCCATCAACCTTCCACGCATGTTTTTGGAATGTGGGAGGAAACCGGAGTACCTGGAGAAAACCCACGCGGGCACAGTGAGAACATGCAAAGCCCGGAATCGAACCATGCGCCTCTGCACTGTGAGGCCGATGTGCCAACCAGTCGCTCACCTTGCCGGCTAAATTTGTTTAGTCTGCAGAAAAGCGTGATCAATAAGTGGCTTGAATAACTGCTCATGAAAACAATGAAAACCTTTATCTTTGTATAAAATGAAAAAAAAAGTACTGTATAATATGTAAAAAAAAAAAAAAAAAAAAAAGCACATTCAGTTTTTACACCAGCAGTGATGCCGTTTTAATTCTTTATTTTTGCTGTGTCCCATTAACAGAAAGCTGATGGTCTTACAAGGTATGAACCATTTTTGAACTGAATTGGTAACTGAAACAAATGCACTTGCAAGATAGCATATGCAAACATTGTTCCCTTCATTAAAGCCTTGAAACCAAAACATGAGGATAATGCGGTTTGTCCACATTTGACCTACTACTATCCACACTCAGGACACTTAAAAAGAGCCATCGTGGATAGAATTGTTTTTTTAACCCCTCAGAAATCTCCATGAAAGAAAAGTGAGACCAGGAAAGCACTTTACAGAGGCGAAGAGAACACGCCACAATACAACACACAATGTTTCAAGGAGTTGCTTGTGAAAACAAAACAAAAACATATTACACAAATTATGCATCACTCAATACATTAAGGCACCTGAAACAAAGAAAGGCTTTATGATGGGCTTAGAAATGGTTCGTGTTGCGCCGGTAAACCACTTTAAGGCTGCCATGTTGGGCCAAATCCTGACAGAATAAAACAAAAAATTTACAATAAAATAATCACTCTTAAATCGCGAGTTGGAATAAATTAACATGAGTCATTTGACCAAGCAAAATACAGCACAGGTTGGGACATTCCGAGATGACAAACTGCAACGATTTGGCCTGACATTCATCATTGTTCGCCACGTATTAGCAAAGTATCAACCGGTTTAAGTGAGCAAACTAAAAATCAGGAGGAAAAGGTCACGTCAAAAGCAAAGTTCCCTGCAACAAGCCATTTTTAACCCCTTCAAAAAGTCCTTCATCACTGGTACCTCATTGTAAAGGTTCTTTACGGTGTGACTCTGGATATGACATATTATAAAACCTGCCGATTTTGACTGGCATAAATAAAAGGAATGGCGTTGTAAAAAAAAAAAAAAAAAGCAACAATAAAAATAATATTAACCATAATAACAATAATAATAATAATAATAAAAAAATGTGTGAATTGTCTTAACTTATTTCAAATATACACAGCGACTCCTTTTTTAATATTTACACAATATGTACAGAGTTTGGATCAAAATACCTTGAACGGCGTTGCTGTGGAAAGGGAACTCTTTCGATGCACACGTCAACATTTTGCGATTGAGAAACAAGATCAAACTGGGCAGCGCGACTTGGGGAGCCTGGAACGGGCTCGCAGAAAGGCACTTGCTACCGACTCGAATACTGCAAAAGAAATCCTCAAAACGGAGCTTTCAGCCAAGACAATTGAGAGACAGGACAAAGTTAGTCAAGGCCACATAGTAGGCACTGGGGTTTCTGCCCCCCCCCC